CTCCAGCAACCTCTGACCCACGTCCCCAGCCTCCAGTGCCTCCGACCCACATCTCCAGCCTCCAGTGCCTCCAATCCACGTCCCCAGCCTCCAGTGCCTCCGACCCACATCTCCAGCCTCCAGTGCCTCCAATCCACGTCCCCAGCCTCCAGTGCCTCCAACCCACATCCCCAGCCTCCAGTGCCTCCGACCCACATCTCCAGCCTCCAGTGCCTCCGACCCACGTCCCCAGCCTCCAGCGCCTCCGACCCACGCCCCCAGCCTCCAGCGCCTCTGACCCACGCCCCCAGCCTCCAGCGCCTCTGACCCCACGTCCCCAGCCTCCAGCGCCTCCGACCCACGTCCCCAGCTTCCAGCGCCTCCAACCCATGTCCCCAGCCTCCAGCGCCTCCGACCCACGTCCCCAGCCACCAGCAACCCCGACCCACATCCCCAGCCTCCAGCACCTCCGACCCACATCCCCAGCCTCCAGCAACCTCTGACCCACATCCCCAGCCTCCAGTGCCTCCGACCCACATCTCCAGCCTCCAGTGCCTCCAATCCACGTCCCCAGCCTCCAGTGCCTCCGACCCACATCCCCAGCCTCCAGCAACCTCTGACCCACGTCCCCAGCCTCCAGCGCCTCCGACCCACGCCCCCAGCCTCCAGCGCCTCTGACCCCACGTCCCCAGCCTCCAGCGCCTCCGACCCACGTCCCCAGCTTCCAGTGCCTCCAACCCACGTCCCCAGCCTCCAGCGCCTCCGACCCACGTCCCCAGCCACCAGCAACCCCGACCCACATCCCCAGCCTCCAGCGCCTCCGACCCACATCCCCAGCCTCCAGCAACCTCTGACCCACGTCCCCAGCCTCCAGCAGCCTCCGACCCACGTCCCCAGCCTCCAGCAACCCCTGACCCACATCCCCAGCCTCCAGCGCCTCCGACCCACATCCCCAGCCTCCAGCGCCTCCGACACACATCCCCAGCCTCCAGCACCTCCAAACCATGTCACCAGCCCCCAGGGCCTCTGACCCACATCTCCAGCGCCTCTAAGCCATGTCCACAGCCTCTGGCACCTCTGACCCACCTCCCCAGCCTCCGACACCACCTCCGCAATTTAGGCTGAGCTGGTATTTTTTGTGGGTTTTAGAGAGCTGGAAAATTCTCCTCTGAACAGACCCTGAGCTCCGGCGCTGACTGCAGGGCGCTAGCTGCCTCGCCATGACTGTGCCACCAGAGGCTGGCAGCCTTCCTAAGCCAGATGTCAACTACCTCCCCTAGCCTGGCACCTCCTGCCGCCCTGAACAAACATCTCCCCACTGCTTAGCGTGTGAGCTGCCCGGGACAGACACCCGGCTTTAAAACTTCTTACTCACGCGCCCTTTATATTTACCCTGTGATAAACATCAGTCAGCTCCATCTGTAACAATGGAGCCGTTCATGCCCCCGCCCGTCCTGGAGCTGGCCAGGGACTCACTGTCATTGCTGGACGAGCACAAAGCCCAGAGGCTCAGAGAAGCCCCGCAAAGCTCCAGGACTGATGTCAGCGATTGAATCAGTACAGTTTGTGCCTCAGAGCTGAGAACCCTCAGCCCGATTTGGGTGGGGAGCAGGCTGTGTGGGGTCCTTTATCCATCCCAGATATGAGGCACCAGGGTCTGGCATTTCCCTCACCTTCCCCTGGGTGGCTGGGTCCACTGGCTTCACCCTCAGAACCCCCCCCATGCCCCATGTGGGGACCTCTGGGACTAGGGGGTCTGCAGCAGCGGCATTCGAATGGTTTCGTACTTGGTAACGCTCCTTAAGATTGATACCCTCCCACAAACCCTTCCTTGCCCAGTCAGGTCCCTCCTCCAAGGGCCTTCAGCTTTTCCCTTGTGCTTGTCGACCCATGACCTTTTGTAACACCCTGCCGTGCCCTTGGACTGAGACCTCAGCTGTGGATAGAGGCTCCAGAAATTCTTTACTCTTGACTGCCCACCAGAAAGAGTTTCCTTGTATAGAAGTTCTCTTTCTACAACAAACCAGGATCGGTTAGAAGAGCTGAGAGGCGGTGGGTTGCTCCGTGCCGCCGTTCAAGCTCCCTGGAGGCTGTCATCTGCTTCCTGATCAGCCTGGAACTGTTCCCTTGATGTTGGAGACGTCAGTTCCTCATTGAATTGTGGATTTGGGCTTGGTCCCTCTGGAAGCGATGCAGGTGCTGGGGCTGTTTCCGTGAACTGTGAACCGCTGTCCGCTGGTGCACTATGTTGTATTTCAGGCTCCGGCTGAGCCTCTTGCCTAGGTATCTGCTGCTTCTGCTAGGTCAGGCTCGGTGGTGCCCTCTGGCGTTGGAGTTGTAGACGAGGTTGCAAGCACTGGATTCAGTGCTGGGAATGGTTCTGGTGCTGGTTGCTCCACCTGTTCCGGTTCTGGGACTGGTTCTGGCTGGGTCTCTGCCACTGGATCCACTACGGCTGTCACAGATGTTGGCCTGGGGTCTGGTTCCACCACCTCAGTCTGAGTCTCTGGTGACACAGACGGGGCCCTTGTAGAAGGCTCAGAAACAGGGATGGGGGTGCAAGCTTGCTTAGCCTGGCTGCGGGTGACCATTCCCACCCTCTTGGCTAGCTTCACATGGTTGGCCAAGTCTTCCCCCAGCAGCAATGGAATGGGATAATCATCATAGACTGCAAAAGTCCACATTCCTGACCAGGCCTTGTACTGGACGGCAACTTGGCTGTAAGCAAGTCAAAAGAGTTTGACTTGAAGGGTTGAATCGTCACTTGGGCTTCTGGGTTGATCAATTTGGGGTCCACTAAGGATTGGTGGACAGTTGACACCTGTGCTCCAGTGTCCCTCCACACTATGACCTTCTTCCCTCCCACACTCACAGTTTCCCTTCACTCTGAGGGTATCTGGGAGGCATCTGGGCCTGAGGACCTTTGGTGTGACCCCAATGCAATGAACTGTAATCTGTTGGGATTTGGGGGGCAGTTGGCTTTACATGCCCCAGCTCGTTGCATTTAAAACATCGCCCAGCTGACTGGTCAGTGGGGCAAGGTCGGTTTCTGGAGAATGGTGTGGTGGGACGATAAATTGTCTGGTATCCGCCCAAACTGTGACCAGGGTTGTTCCTCTCTGCTACCTCCACGCATTTTGTTCCGATTTGCCACACCTCTCTGGCAGTATGGGACTGCTCACATTGATCAGCATAAGAAGCAAGACTTTCAGCTGAGTCCATTTTCTTATCCCATAAACACTGTTTTACATCATCATTGGTCATAGTCAGGAAGTGCTCCTGTACAACCAAATCACACATTCCTTCAAAGCTAGATACACCCCTTCCTTTGACCCATTTAGCTAACAGATCCTTCATCTGATTTACATAAGCCACATTACTTAGTCCAGCACCTCTCTTAAGGGCTCTAAATTTTACTCTGTACGTTTCAGGTGTAATTTGAAGTTGTTTCAAAACCAAATCCTTAAGTTTACCATAGTCAGAAGCATCCTCAATAGGCATCTTGTTGAATATGTCCAGAACTCTTCCAGTCAATTTTGCTACCAATGTGGTCATCTTGTGATCGTCGGGAATTGCATGGAGTGTGCACAGTCTCTCAAAGGTGATTAAATATTCAGCAATATCACTGGATTCATGATACTGTGAACACAGTCA